GTGGCCGCAGCAGTCGGGGTAGCGGGAGGGAGAGGGAGAGTGTGCGCGGGTGCGCGAGCGGAGGCGTTGCTGCCAGAGCGCAGCGACCCCGGGAGCGGTGCGCTGGGCGGCTTACGTAAGACACGCGAGAGGTAGCAGGACCTCGGACAGCGGCGTCATCTCATCAGGACGCGTACGCCATGCACCCTCCGCCCTTTTACCCGCACCCACCACCACCGCCCGCCACCTCGCCCAATTATTTGCACGCCGTGTGGTAGCGACTGATTCGCTGGATCTATTGGATTTCGACGACGGACAAGCATACAAGGCGCGGCGATGGCCACCATCGACGACCTAATTCCACACATCTATCATGAGAGGCAGCAGGAGGGCTCTATGCTATGCGCACAGCATGCGCTGAACTCTCTTCTCCGTACGCTTCTACCTCTATCTCCTCCCCTCCCCCGCTAAAGCGCTGCCGACGCCACAGAGGGCCCATATGTCAGTCGAACTACTCTGAGCGTCCGACCCCACCGCGAACTGACCTCCGGCCTTGCAGTTCTCCGCGCCCGACCTCTCGGAGATCGCACACAGACTTGATGCCCTGGAGGACACTTACGACGAAGACCGCCGTGGACATGAGAGCACGAACATGGACGATACTGGTGAGTCCCCAGTTTGCTTGCCCGCGCAGAGGTGGCGCTTGCCGTCACTCGAGGAGAGCTGGCTACATTGGTCAACCCGCAGCTGCATACCTCCAGACTGGTCGCTCCTGGCACGCTGCTATCCCGCCAGAACTTCAATGCTTACCGAGTTCTCTCTGCCAGGGTTTTTCTCGGTCCAAGTGCTAGAAGAAGCTCTGCAAGTCTGGAATCTAACGTACGCCTGTCCGTCGTCCACCGCAAGCACGTTTCTAATTTCCGGTCAGCCTCATCCGATGGCGAAGTGAAGAGATGCGGCCTTTCCAGGATCGTCCGCAGTAAGCTCAATTGGCCTCTTGCGTGGCGGACCTCCATTGATCTGTATTTGTGGCGCAGGTCCCAGCTTGCTTTCATCCTCAATCAGCATCAACATTGGTACACACTCCGCAGATTCGGGCCCGCCCTCACGGATGCTGCGCGCGATCCAGGCGAGGGCCATTGGTTCAACCTGAACTCGTTTCTCGCCAGGCCCGAGTGGGTCGGCAAATTGTATCTTGGCATGTTCCTGCAACAGGCAGAAGAAGAGGGTAAGTCCGTTTGTATTGGCACGTCTATCAGAGAATTGCACATAACATATTCAACCCCGGTGTTCAGGTTACTCGGTCTTTGTAGTGACGCAAAAGGATCCAGAAGGTCCACTTGCGTTACCGCGAACAGAGGCAGATGAATTCGCAACGGCGATCCCAGAAGATACCGGGGCAGGGCGGACCCGCGGGCAGCCCGCAGCATCGCATGCGTCGATCGAGGGCTTCGAAGACGAAGACATGGAGCTTCAAGCAGCACTGCAGGCCTCTCTGGCGGGAGCCGCGCCTTGGGAGCATCACGATCCACCGTACCCCGCCCCGGTTGCCGCGGCAGCGCGCGACCCTATATTTGGCTCAGGGACACGGACGCCTGTTGGGCGCGGACAGGCGCGCTATGGCGTGCCCGTGCTCGAGGAGCCTGAGGATGAGGACGAGGATATCGAGATTGAGGAGCTCGCACCTCCGGCTGTCAACCGCTACGCGCAGCTCGCCCCCGCACCGGACGCAGACCCGCTCGCAGCGAGCCGCGCGCGCAGCCAGGCGTACATGGAGCACGTGCGGCGCCAGCAGGAAGCGGCGCTGCGTGACAATTACCAGGAGGAGGCGGCGCTGGCGGAGGCGGGAATTAGGCGGCGGAATACGAGGGCGGAGGAGGAGGAGGCTGAGCTCATGCGGGCGATAGAAGAGAGCCGCGCGCTGCACGAAGCCGTGGGCGGATCGGGGGCGCAGGAAGATGACGCGCCGGCGGTACCGCGTGCGAGCGGGCACCCACCCGCGTTTGGCGGCGACAGGGTGTACGACGACGAAGACGCCGAGCTGCAGGCCGCGCTCAGGGCGTCGCTCGAGATGCTGCCTGAGGGCTTCCAGGTGCCGCAGAGCCCGCCTGCACGCGCGCCCAGCATGCCTGCAGCCCCGCCTGTGGCAGGCGCACCGATATCCGCGACTGTGGTGCCCCCGCACGTGCCAGAGGACGAGGACGAGGAAATCGAAACCGAGTCCGAGGCGGACGTGGGTGCGGCCGCGCCAGAGCCGCAGCTGTCGATGGAGGAGATCAGGAGGAGGCGGCTCGCGCGGTTCGGAGGGTAGGCAGGGGCGCCCCGCCTCGCTCCGCGGACGCATTGTTCATCAGGCCTGTCAGGCTCGGCGACGCTGCGCGTGCTCGCTGAGGCCGACGTGGTCACGCCCGCCGCCGTCGTACTTACTGAGCTGTTCCTGTAACACTAGACGCCTATGGGTATTGGTAGAGTGCGCCACCCCACCGTGCGGCCGAGGGTCCAGGGGCGAGGCAATGTGACAAAGAGAGGCTCGCTCCCAAACGTGACGCGCAAACACTGGATCCCGGCAGCATGGCGGACCTCGGACAGATTCGCATCTCCTCGCTCGCCTGTGTTTCATTCTGCGGGTCGGGTAAAGGCGCGCGCTCCCCATTGGCCAGCGAGGTACTCGAGTCCAGCCCGGCATCGCCCGATCGGGAAATCGAGGTAGTCTGACCTCGAGAGCAACCGCGGCGAGGGTTTGTTGGAAATTGGCTCGCTCCCTGGGCACACGGAGCATCGCGCGCGAAAATAACCATGATTGGCATGCTTGAGTCAACTCTGTAAGCTCACGTCGTAATCGGAATGTAACGCGGTTCTATTATGATCGTCTTCTGCTCTCGTTACAAAAGCCTCACCTGCTGAGCTTGTTCCGCTACCACCGCCCGCCCTCCGCCTCCCTTACATCCTGCCCCGCTGATGGCTGACGTCCATCCAGTCAAGCCCGCGGGCTCAGACCTCCCGACCCATGTGCAGCCTCCCGCTGCGAGCCCGCCCCCGCACCAGCTCAGGTACATCTCGTGGCTCCGTCGCCATGTAAAATGGGTGCCGTGGCGTACCCGCATAAAGTGAGCACTGGCAGCCATCATGCGCCACAACGCTGCTGACCCTTGCCAGAAACTACTCATGGCAATGGCACGGTCTCGTCACCGCTACCGCCGTCGTCTCCTCCGTCATGCACATATTTCCGTACCACAACAGCGCCAACGCCCTCAAGGTTCTCGCGTGCATACTGCTTATAATAGCACTCATTGCATTCGTCTTCAACGTGGCTGCCAAAATTGCCAAGGTCATCATGTACCCAAAGGTATGCTGTGCTCCCGCCCGTACCCGAGTCCGTCAGGTGCTGACCCCGTTGCCGCAGGATGCTCTCACGCACATCACCGACCCGGCCAAGAGCTCCTTCGCGGGCTTCCTCGCCGTCGGCGGCGCCGGTCTCATCGACGCAGCAGTGGTACGTGCCGCCCTTCCTGCTCGCACGGCGGTCACCTGACTTCCCTTCCCCTCGCACAGAATGTCATCCGTGACTGGCACCCGGGAGCCAAGAACCGCTTCCTCTTTGCCATGTACGGCCTCTGGTACCTCGACGCCGCCGTCGCCTGGTTTACCGCGTTTGGCGTCATCTACTTCATCATTGGTCAGAAGACGAAAGACATGGGCAAGATCATGGCCATCTGGATCATCCCCTGCGTCTCCATGATCGCGTCCTCGACCTGCGGCGGCCTCCTCGCCGGCACGCTCTACCCTGAATTCCCTCGCCTCGCGCTCATTACCACGACATTTGCAATTACAATGGGCCTTATGGGTCTCTGCTTCACGACGATGATCACCTTCGGCTTCCTCATGCGCCTCTTCCTCCACGGCGCTCCGGACGGCCTCATTGCCCTCGCCACATGGAACATCCTCACCCCTCTCGGCCAGGGCGGCTTCTCGCTCCTCATCAACGGCCAGAACCTGTCCCTGCTTGTTCCGTACATGTCCGGGAGCGACTTCCCCGAGATCGCGATCGCGGGCAAGCTGCTCTTCAGCGTGTGCTTCTGCGGCGCATACCTGTGCTGGTGCATGGGCTTCTGCTGGATCATGCTCTCGCTCTTCGTCCTCATCCGCCGCGCGCGCAAGCTCCCGAACTTCGGCCTCGCGTGGTGGGGCGCAGTCTTCCCGAACGGCACGTACGCGCTCCTCACCGTGCAGCTCGGGAACGTCCTCAAGAGCCGCTTCTACCACGGCTTCGGCGCCGCGTGGAGCATCATCGTCATGCTCCTCTGGACCGCGCTCATGCTCCGCACGATCCCCGCCTTCGTCACCGGCACGATGTTCCTCCCGCACAAGTACTACCTCGACCACCGCCGCACGAAGCGCCACCACCGGCACCACCGCGACGCCGAGAAGGGCGCGCTGCACGAGCACACGCACGTGTCGCAGCCGGAGCCCGCGCATGCGCCGCGCGAGCACTCGCCTGAACGCGACGACCGCTCGACGCTTGTCGCGCGGGGCAGCGCGATGCGTCTCACGCACTCAAGCAGCTCGCAGGTTGGGAAGTCGGCGTCACCGCACGACAGCGGGCGTGCGACACCTGTTGACGGCCTCGCACATGCAGTAGAGATTTCTGGGCCAGTCGCATGAGTTCGTCGGCTGCACTCTCCACTACGCACCCCTGATTCGTCCTCCCTCCTCTGTGATACGTTGACGATTTGTTCATACCACCAGTAACGATTTCTTTATGCCTTCACGCCTTGAATCCGGGAAACACTAATAGCATGTAGCACTACTTGGGGCAATAGACAGGCTGCGCACGGAGATGCGGCTTGTACAGTATATCCTAGCATAATCATCCAATCATATCTCTCTGGAACAGCCCTGTAGGTTGCCGTCTGGACCCTGAGGAGCCTGATATCTGGAGCTTGCATGAAATACACAGCACGGCGTAGCGATGCTGCGATATGTAACAAAAAAAAGTGACAAAAAGTGTTCTGAATCAAAAATGGACGCACTGGGAATTGAACCCAGCACCCCCCGCAAGTGCAAACAATGCTAAGCGGATGTGATAACCAACTACACCATGCGCCCTTATTTCTTGGGCCTTAGGTCATATATAGATACGCACAGCGGAAGCAAAGCGCTAAACGCCACAAAGCCTGGTGATCCGGAGCATGCCGAGCCTCGCGGTTCGTTCGCGGTGCAGCAGCTTGCTGGTCCTGCACAGCCTCGCGTTCTGCCCGCCGCATGACTTCGAAAGCCGCCAAGGCGACGTTTCTGGTAATATCACTCAGTGCACAACTCTGCTGGGCACCCACGACATGGATTGTCCTTGTACAACTTTGGATTGTGAGCTGCCGCCAACATGATTTTCCCTATACATTGATGCCGCATTGAACATGCTCACACTTCGCTTTCTGGTAGGTCTGTAGGCGTCTCTACTGCATCGAATTACACTCGAACTGCTTTGGTATACGCCGGCGTGCTTAGCTCCGTTACCCTCGGTGCGCGTCCTCGGTTTCCTCACCGAGCTGAGCAGCCACGAGGCTAGGTGTAACATGCGCCAGACGACTCGAGAGGCCTCAATGAATAGCGTACGGTCATCAATAGCTTGCTTGCAACAGCCGGCCCTTCTCCATGAGAAGCGAAAAAGCCTCCATCGCTCGCGGATGTTTTCTCACAGCGGGCTTATCGCTATAATCCCGCATGCTTCTCACACCCTCTTCCCAGCCCTGCAGCTGCGTTCACGCAAGAAGCGAGCACAAACGCTGCACCACTAGCGCAACCAAACAGATCGTCTCGAGCTCGCATATGGAAACGCACCGTCTCCGCCGCCGGTTAGCGCAGATTTTACCCGCACCTTGACTCTCCCGTTCGTCCTTCACGCGGCCCGCTATGAGCCCAGAGCGAGCCGCAAAGTGCCCAGAGGACCGCAGAGCGCAATAATAGGACGCAGCTCGCTGTACTTCGTGAGTACATATACGCTTCGGAGGGCAAGAACAAACTCCAATGCACCCTAGCCTACCTTCCCAACGTCGCGCTCTGTCCTGTGCTCTGTCCTGTGCTCATACCAGCTACCATGGAGGCAAAGGAGGTCGAGCACATCGAGGCCGCGCTTCCCTATATACCTCCGCTTTCGGCTCCTCAGCCCACACCCGCTGCAGGGACGGCGCTGTGGCGCGAGCGCATACAGTAAGCCGCACGGGTTCTTGTCCTCGGCACGCGCGGTTATTGACCGATCGCTCCTAGCAACTTCTCGTGGCAGTGGCATGTCGTCGTGATGGCCACCGGCGTGTGCTCCTCCCTGCTGCACAACTTTCCCTACCAAGACGGCACCGGCGCGTTCAAGGTTGCAGCGCTGTCGCTCTTTCTGTTCGACCTCGTACTCTTCGTGATGCTGTGCGTCTGGGCCGTTGCACGTTGCACGATGTTTCCCAAGGTGCGGGAGTACTTCGTAATTACCATCCATGGGAGCTCACTTTACGTGAACAGGACCGTGTGTTGATGTTAACTGACCCGGCGACGAGCCTATTCATCGGCTTCTTCACCAACGGTGCGGCATCGCTCATTAACGCTGCTCTCGTAAGTGGGCTGCACCACCGCTGCAGACGTCACACTGACCCTGGCATAGTCCGTAAACAGAGACTGGGGCACAGGGGACAAGGTGCTCCTATACACCCTTTGGGGATTATGGTGGCTCGACTCTGTCCTGGCATGCATGGTCGCCTTCGGGCTCATCTACCTCATGCTGGGCGAGCAGTCCAATGACCTCTCCAAGCTACGCCCGTCGTGGATGGTCCCCGTCATCACCCTCATCACGATGTCCGCCTCAGGCGGGCTCTTCGCGCGCTCGCTGCAGGCGCACTCCCACGTGCTCGCGCTCCTCTCCGTCTCCGTCTCCGCGGCGATGCTCGCGATCGGCCTCAGCTTCACCATGATGCTCACGACCGCGTTCCTGCTGCGCCTCTACCTGCACGGCCCGCTCGACGCGACGGTCGTGCTCAGCACGTTCACGACGCTCACGCCGCTCGGCCAGGGCGGCTTCGCGCTGCTCACCGCCGGCGCAGACCTCGCCGCGCTCCTCCCCGCCGCGCCCGGCCCCGCGCCCGCCGCCGCGCTCCCGGGCGCCGTCGCGTACGGCGCGTGCATCTGCGGCGCGTACGCGCTCTGGAGCATGGGCGTCGCGTGGGTCGCCGTCGCGTGCTTCTCGATCGCGCGCCGCGCGCACGACCTCCCGCGCTTCACGATCTCGCACTGGTGTGTCGTCGTGCCGAACGGCGTCTTCGCGGCGCTCTCGATCCAGCTCGGCACCGCGCTCGACAGCCCGTTCTTCCGCGCGTTCGGCGCGGGCTGGGCGGGCCTCGTGTTTCTGCTGTGGATCGTCACCTTCCTCCGGAGCCTCGTCGCCATTTGGGACGGGTCGATCTTCGACAAGCCTGGTGCGGTGCCTGCGGAGGCGAAAGCAGCGGAGGTCGTGGAGGTCGTCAAGGACAAATTCGACGAGGAAGGGCCCGCTCAGATCGAGATCCTGCCCAGCCTCAGGCCGAGCGACGTCGAGTCTGTCGCTGAGACGCTATGGGGCTCCGATCGTGCTACCCTTAGGAATGATAGCATGGTTTGAGATGGGTCCTGATTTCTTCTGCTACTGGAAGCTACTGGACACTAAAGTATCTCTATGTCATGTCATGGTATTTATCTATAAGCTATTCTACCGTAGGATCCGGTATCTACCTAGTTATATAGGACTCTCAGTACTGTATCGATAGCACTATAAGTTAACATTGAATGGACATATTTACCTCACACTCAACCCAGGAGTTCATGGCGGAGATGCCGAGATTGCCCCTGCCAAGTGTTCAAAAGCCATGCATGAATAGCGAAACGGGTCCAAAAGTATAGCTCTGAGCTTTCACCCATATGCCTGTTTGTCCTACACAAGTCGTCCTCCAGCGCCACCACGCTATAAGGTACACCGGGTCCTGGCGTCGAGAGGCTGATGGCCCGCACAAAGACGACGTCCTCAGAGATTCGCACATCGCGCCGTCTTACCAAAGCTCTGTCCTCGCACTGCGACATTTTTGTTGCCAAACAGTAATTGCTATGGCTCAGCGCTCAAGCCAACTGGACGTTGCTCCTGCAAGACCAGTCGCGCGCTGGAGTGCATGTACAGCTGGAGAAGCATGCCTTCTGCGCTGAAATCTCCTGGAGCAGACGAGCACAATTTCACCACAGCTTGGGATCGCATGGCCTGGCTAGAAGAGGGTCGCAGCTGTGCAAGCGTGTCGGCTGAGCATTATAAGTCCCTAGTACGATACATTCGCCTGTCTAGATTGTAGAACACTCGACCACGAGCCCATCATCATAGCTGGAAGACGTCGTCGCACTGCTGCTCGTGGATGCTCTTGCACGCGACGCCGCCGAGGATCTTGCCGACGCCCTCCTTCACAACCACGTCGAACTCGGCCTCGCTCTTGACGAGCAGGCAGCCGGCGAAGCCCATCGAGTTGATGCTCAGCTGGTCGCCCGTCGCGGGGAGCGTGTACGTCTCGGCCTTGCGCGGCACGACGTGCATGTGTTCGAGCGTGAGCACGACGTTGTACGAGAGCGTGCTCTTGCCCGCCGCGCCATTCACCGCAGCGGGCGGGTCCCGCCGGAACGTCGACAGCGCGAGGTCGAGCAGGTCCATGAACGCGCGCTGCAGCTGCGTCTCCAGCTCGTCCCGCGATGCGTTCGGCAGCGACGGCGGGAAGCGGCGGATGTGGTTCGCGTAGGGGAGAGAATGCAGGGAGAAGGGGCGGTCTAGCGTGCGATATTTTATTCAGGACCGTGCTGAAATATATTAATCGTGTTGGAGGACATACCCTGGACTTCAATATTAGCTTTGCGAGCAAGCTTCTCGACCGGCGGGCCGTCCGCGTCGACCGGAATGAGCTGGAGGTGTTTGTGCGGTTGACTCGCGCCGCTCAGGTCGCCGCCTAATTCATGTCAGCCCGGAACACGTAAACCTGACAGCCAGCTTATTGCTCACAGTTGTAAAACGCGAAGTACTTCTTGCCAGCCTTCTGAGCCGCAATCAAGAGTTGGTACGCTTGCACAAGGTCTGGTGGCATGAGCGGCGCAGTCTGCGAGTGGAAGTCTAACGCGTGCGAAGATTAGGTGTGGCACAACCTCGCCTGGGGGTCTGCGAACCTTTCGTGACCAGAAGGATGTGGTGTCGGACGACAGAATATTTGTTGAACTGTGCCATGTACTTGTCAGGCAGCCAGTACACGGAGTCTCTGAGCAGACGCACCAGCACGACGTATTCATCGCCATCCACCTCGTCCTTCAAATCTCCGAGGTGCAGGTTCGGGACGTACGGCGGCGTGAACGGGTCGAACGTCCTGCCTTCCAGCCCGAGCGCGGACCTGCGCTCGTCCGCGCCCGCGTCGAAATGCGGCGTGGGCAGGTGCGGCTTGTGCTGGAGGGCGGGGCAGAGGCGAATCTCCCACTATTGTGTCTACGCTCGTCTGCGATGTCTCGTAGGGTTCAGCAGCGGGCGCACGCACCTCGACGCCGTGTTCCTCGTGCGTGTGGATCGTGCTCGGGAAGAAGAGCAGGTCGCCCTCCGCGTTCGCTTTCTCGAAGCGTTCGGGGAGCTTGGCTATTATCTGCGCGGCGGTTTCGGGCATCTTCAGGAGTGGGTGACGTGCGACGTAGATCTGAGGGCGCGTTCTGGAGGCAGGCGACGTGAGGGCGGAAGAGATGTGGAGCTGTCGATACGAAAGCGTAGGTCGGGGAGCAGAAGGCTTCCAAGTGGGTATTCTTGTATGTGCGACGTGGAGAGCGATATCAGTCAAGCGAGTGAACGAAGGAGGGGATGCGTGCGAGGTTATAACACGGTCGTGGATGGCGCGGGAAGTGCAAGCTGGACTGGACCCGGTTATCGATGACGAGTGGTTATGACGGAACAGAGCGTCGCCCGAGGCTCTGCGAAAATGGCCGAATGCGACTAGCATCGTCGTGGTACATGCGAGCCAATCGGCTCGCCACAACGTGCCGACAGCCCGCAGAGTCACGGCGCACGGCGACGTTGGCAGGCACTGACGTTC